TCAAGGAATTAATCTGGAACTAGGTGAAAAGCACTGCTTTGTTGTACTACTAAGACACTAATGAAAAATTATGATTCTCAGACATGAAGGAATAGGTTGGTACAGTGCATAAAGCAGACAAACCAATTTAAAAAGTTTTCATCAGTCTGATGAGGTAAATTGTGATAATCTCAATTATTCAATTAAATCGGTTAAACATTATCATTCCCTGTATTATTTCAATGTTATTCTAAGAAGCCATTTTACACAGAATTACATAAATTATACAGTACCAAAACAACTCATCCATGACAATGTTTATACACCACATGATCCTCCACCCCTCCTAATCCCCGGTACCTGTTCTCTACTCCTCTATTTCCTTCATGTAGGTATTTCTTTTAAATTTAAGTTTTTTTTGTTGAGATTATCACCCCTGAAAAGCAATCCGCTAATCGACTAACAACCAGGTTCCTACTTGCTGCAAGGTAAACAGAGGCGTGTGGATTAAGGAAATTTACCTAATGTTTCCCCCATCCAGGAATCGAACCTGGGTCCTCTCACTTGGGAGGGGAGCACAATAATTACTACGCTACAGACTTCACAAATAAATTTTAAATCTGCATTTATAATTCGTTATTCAACATACCGTATTCACAAAAACACATCCTTGCAAAATGTAAGTTCCACTAGTCTCAGGTAATTAATTTTTCTGGAGTATAAAAGTAGCATAACCTGCTACTGAAGATACTGACCAGATCACCAGGAGAAACTCCCTTCTCTTTTGTAATAGCACCATGGGGTGTTTAATGCTCATTTGTCGGATGGGACCTCGGTTTAACATCTCATCCAAAGGACAAAGCTCTTAACAATGTAAAGTAATAACAGCTCTACCGGTAAAGGTTATTCTTTTTTGTTCAAGCACCTGTTGGAGAAATGCGGCAGCCAATTGTACACAGCAAAGTTCCATAAACAGTCGTGGACTGAATGACCATGAATTAATTTAATTTTTTTAAGGGATTATTACGCTGGGAAAGCAATCCGCCAATCGACTAACAACCAGTTCCTACTTACTACTAGGTAAACCAAACTGATGGGAGTAAGAAAACTTGCCCAACATAAGAATACTACATGACTCCAAGAATATGGGTTTCTCACTATTAACTTGCCCCATATTGGAATATAAAACCATAGAAGAAAATGTTTCAGCACTGATGCTTCCATTCAGTCCAACGAGTTATGCCATGCTAGCAACACAACTAAATCGATGTGCCTTAATCCCACAAAAACATTTTGGTAATTTGCCAACAAATGTCACAAAATCAGGGTTGGCACTAGAAAAGTTAAGGGAACTTTGACACAACCGAGTTAGAACATCAAATGCATTGGCACAAGTGGCTATTGAGGCTGAATTCAGAACATTTAAAATTCAACTGGATAAAGTAACATAAAAGGCATAGGATAAACAACAAACAACTTGGATTTCTATGAGGCTCATCACATAGGTTAACATCTAAGTTTCACAGTGGCAGGGTTGGACACCAAGCAAAGAGGAAGGGAGGGGGAGATGACTGAAGAAGTATGTTTTAAGATGGGAATTAAAGATAGGCAGGAGGTAAGGTGGAGGAATAGAGTCAAGGAGTTCCAGAGGTTGGGAGTGTAATGACTGAATGCTCGCCACCAATGGTGACACAGAGAGGATGGGATGCGTCAGCTGAGTAGAGAGTTGGGCAAAGGAGTGTGATGTGAGCAAATCAGAGCGATAGAAAAGTGTTTGTGAGTTATACGCGAAGGTGAGGACCATGAATTTGATTCATTCAGAGAAAGGGAGCCAGTGGAGTCTGGCGAGGATTGCGGCAATGGGTGTGCAGAGTTTGGTGCGGGTGAGAATGAGGGCAGCAGAATTTGGAACAGCCTCCAGAAGGGTAACTCAAGAACTAGTGTCAGATACAGATTTGGCCCGAGCAGAATGCAGCCAATTCACATAATGGACTAGTTGGCAGCTCAAGCAACATTTGAAGAAAAATATAAAAGGGAACATTTAAAAAAGCAGGAAATTAGGATTAGATCAGATAGTTCCAGTGGATTAACTAGCATAATTTTACACTTGATAGGCATTATGACCTCTTCCTAATGCTGTAAAGTCTAGCATTTCTCAATAGGGCAATCTGAAAAAGTATTTAAATCACTTCATAAAGGGCAAGGAATACATTTGGAAAAGACAAGTTAAAGCTGCAGGGCAAAGCAGTTAAAAAAAGTGATCCTTACAGAGGTCAAAATCCCAGAAGGCAGATTTCTATTGCTCAAGTGCAAAACAAGTGGGAACACAATGATTTGGAAATTACAGTCTGCTGCAGGAGAACATACAGTACTAAATTGAAGAGAAACTGGCTCAGATTTATAGGCAGGCAGGCAGTTACTGGTTAGATATTGCAGGGTCCACCTACAAGCCTAACTACAAATTAGAAGACATTGAGAGTTTAGAACAGTGGCCTGATGAGCAGATATACCAAAAGAAAAAAATATTCTTTCACTCCATTGCTCATAACACATGAACCACATTGGATTGAAGAACACAGCAATGTAATTGTCAGACTGCACACTAACAGTTCGTGTCCCATCCACAGAAACAAACTGGATGCCTCTCAACATAGATGTGGCAGCATGAAACGGTCCATTCAGTCCAACGAGACCGTGCCGGTGTTATACTCCACCCACTCCTTACTCCCTCCTCTCTATTCCCTTCTCTCTCGTGTGTGTATATCTAGCTTCCTTTTAAATGCAACAACAACAACAACAAGATTCCATTTATAGAGCGCCTTTCACGTCGGGAGGACGTCCCAAGGCGCTGTAGAGTTGGATCAGGACCCGAGCAAGGGGGAAATGGTCAGGTTGAGGGGAGAGAAGGGAGGGAGCGAGGAGGGGGTAGAGAGTCGAGAGGGGAGCTGAAGGCTCGGTCAAAGAGAAAGATCTTGAGACCGGCCTTGAAGGAGGAAAGGGAGGAGGCGGCGAAGGCACTGGGGGATAGAGTTCCAGAGCCTCGGGGCTGAGAGGCTGAAGGCCCGGCCACCGATGGTAGGGCGGTTGGGGCGGGGGATGTGGAGCAGACCGGAGCCAGAGGAACGGAGGGTACGGGCAGGTAGGTAGGGGGATAGTAGGTCGGAGAGGTAGGAGGGAGCAAGGCCGTGAATGGCCTTGTAGGTAAGGATGAGGATCTTGAATTTGATCCTCTGGGGGATGCATATATGCATATATGCTATCTGACTCAACAACAACTTGCACTTATTTGGCGCCCTCCACGCAGGGTAGCATCTCAGAGCACTTAACAGTGGCGGAGTCTAACTTCGAGCCGGGCGAATGTGGCTTTAAGCACGGTCGAACAGGAAAGTTTACAGGAGGAACTTGAAAGAAGGGAGAGAGGGGCAAGGTGGAGGGATTGAGGGAAAGTGTTCCAGAGTTTTGGGTTGTAGTGAAAGCACGATCTCCAATGGTGGAGCGGAGGGTGCAAGGGAAGAGCAGGAGGCCGGTGCTAGTTGAGTGAAGGCGCCAGTGGTGGATTGGGGAATGAAGAGGTCAGAGTGGTAGGGAGGTGCAGGGAGTGAATGGATTTGAACACGAGAGTGAGGATCTTGAAATCGATCAGTTTGGGGATGGGGAGCCATTGGAGCCTGGCCAGAACTGGTGAGATGTATCTAATTAAACCACTGTATCGGGCAGCGAGTTCCGCATTGTAAGTGCCCTCTGCGTGAAGCACATCCTTCTAAGTTCTCTTTTAGATCCCGCAGTCGCTATCTTATATTTGTGTGCCCTGATCCTGGACTACCCAACAAATAGGAATAGCCTATTTATGATAACATTATTGAATGGTTTAATAATTTAGAACATCCCAACCCTTTTACAATTTTGAACACATCTCTGCGTTCATTAAATATTTGGAGAAGATAATTCTTACTTTGTTCTAATCTAGTGGGATAAGATGTTTTGCATCAAAGCAAATGTCCCAAAAAAATGAAATGGAAGAAATCATTGTGGATTTCCATTAACACAATGGGGTTTCCCAGAAGGGCAACTCGCACAACTGGTGTCAGATACAGATTCAGCCCTTACAGGACGCAGCCTATACATATGGCAGACTAATTAGCATCTTAAGCAAAACAAATTCATGTTCTGTAACGACACGATCATCTCTAAGAAAACAGACTCACCAGAGGAAGGGTTTCATGTCTGAGCATTTGAACCTTCCACAGATAACTGAAGCAATTCTATAGGAAATCTCTCCGTAGCAGGAAAGTTGAAATAGGTCTGAAGGGAGGAAAACAATGATGGATAGTTCCACAAGCTGAGAGGTCACTGTAGCTGCTGTACTCGAGATTCCAGCAGGATTGTGACCACACGTACAAAGTGGTTTTCTCCAAACCAAATAACAAATTCTCCACTGTAGGCCTGGTGCCATTTTAAATTCATAGCAGCACTTTACCAGTAACAATGTTCCTTTATATCCAAGTGCTCGGACTTAGTGAAATCAATCTAATAAACTGGCCTTGATAAACACCAGTGAATATATATGCATTATTATGCTAAAGTACAACTCAAATTAATAAACTACTAAATACACACAGTATTTCTGCACAAACAAACCTAGTAGCAAAACAGCATTAACACACAACAAAATCTACAACATAGTTGCACATGGAGATAAATGAATATGGATGCCCATGGAAATAGATTAGCTGCTCCACTGAAACACACACTACAAATAGTTAATACAGAAAACAAGCAAATATACTGCAAAATAAACATCACACAGAATGTGTGAACGGAATTCAGTTTTATTTATTTTATAGTGACGGTTGAATTTTGTTTTGCTTAAGATGCTAATTAGTCACGGTTCAATCATCATTTACCTCAAAAAGCTTTTTCTGAGAGACATTTCAATTATACAACTGGAATATTCCCTTTAATAGGAACAGAAAGTAAGCAAATCTTCCCATTATTACACAACACAACTAGAAGTTACTTACTGCAACTGCTAACATGCTACTGTCTGGTTTCCATTCAGTTCTTTCATAAGATCCCAAGTGTGAAGTCGCCTTAGCAGATTCCTTGTAACTTACAATTAAAACACTGGGCTGTTGGGCGAAAAGAAAAACAAAACATTAAAATGAGTTTACAAGATGCAACAGTAATCAGCATTATACTAAAGTACAATTCACAAAATAAGGCTGACAAATTGACTATAAATTCTTTAAAAAGCTATATTCAAGCATTTCTTTGGTACAAATAATCTCTCACTCTGCTATTATCATCTCATGGCTAAGGCAACATATGGTGAACTGCTTCCTGGCTTCTGCCAATGACACTTTTGAACTAGCAGCTAAAATAGATGGCCGAAAACACCCAATACAAATCACCACTAATCTGTCATCCCTTTAATGAAGCACTCAGGACCTCCTTTTGAACACATCCTAATGAAGGAACTTGCTAAGAAAATGTATTTGGCAAGTGCCACATTAGTAGATCGTGATGTAAATTTCAATATTTTTTTAAAAAAGATACAAGGTTTCGCACCTATAAATAGGGGAGAGACCATTCACTCCCAACAAATGTCTTACTTCCATAATACTAGTATCAGCATCCCGATCCCTCTCTACGTTACACACTTAAGCAGAATAGTATTTTACAATAATAAATCTGCATTTTGATATAGCTTTATCACAGCAAAAACATCTCAAAAGTGGTTCAGAGGTTTCTATAACATCTGATGACTTTGTAGACAAATGCAGCATGAATTTGTACGCAGTAATGTCACACAAACAGCCATGACATTAATGAAAACTGGGCCAAAACACCAGAAGAAACTACCTTCTCTTTTTGAAAAGTGCCATGGGATCTTTAACATCCACTTAAGCAGACAGGACGCCAAGTTAATACCTCAACCAAAAGATGAAAACAAGAAGAAGCTGGCTATTCATAACAGAGCAATGCACTAGTCATACTCTGACCATCATTGCTTCGTTGTTAATTCTTGATAGCAGAATAGTGTTATTTGAGTTCTTTGAGTAGTACTATATGTCCTGCAATCAACAATGCAGTCTCTTCCAACATTGTAGTTCTGAACTTGTACGCAAGCAAATCAGAAAGCAGCACATTCGACTTTCCAGTTTAAATTCTGGATTTCACACATTCTCCATATCTTTCAATGGACTAAGTTTTGTACCTTGCATTTGCTGGGAAAGAAGTGCACTCAACACCTTGAAATGTCTCAAAACACTTCACAAGCAATTTCTATCAAGGTGTAGTTGTTTTTTGTAGAAAAACAGACAACGTGTTACCAAACTGACAACTATGAACATAAAAATACAGAGGACTGGAAAAAAACATTGTAGTCCATCAGTCTGGTTTCAAAATATAAACAAAAGGAATCAAACCTCAATTAGTTTCTTAAAATCGTATCTAAATTCCTCTTTAGCTTGCTGACAATCTACCTTTCCTCCAAGCTGTGTAACAAGAATAATCCTTGAATTATGTTGATGTCTCAAAGTGCTTTAAAGCTTTCTGTAAAATATAGTGACTGTACATTTATAAAAAATACAGAGGTCAATTTGCAAATAGAAATGTCCCACAAAAAGCTATGAAAGTGAATTACCAGTTTTTTTTAATATATCTCAGGGATTGTCAGCCAGAACATCGAGATAAACTCCTCTTTTCAAATAGTGTCACAGGATTGTTAACATCCACCTGAACAGGCAATACAGGACCTCATCATTCAGAATATTCATTCTCACACTAACACTAGGATATGGTCTCTCAAGAATGAGTTTGCAAATTTAATGCCAGTTATATGCTCCGGGCACTTTAAGAAACAAGGGCTGAAAAAAGCACTCAAGTTGATCAAATTTTACAGCCACAAGAGAGACACAGAGAGAGGAAAGACTCATTTTACTAGTCTGGGGTAGTCATTTGGTACCCAGATCTGAAGCTGAAGGTAGCACATTAACATCCAATGTATTACTCAACTACTCTGCTTTTCTGTAATTTGTATGTTAAATTTATTTCTATCCTGGAGCTGCAGGCACTCAATTAAAGACAATAAAAATACAAAGGTTGATCGTTTGATTTTTAGCATATAAGTACTGCATTTCATTCTAGTGAAACCAACTCAAAGTTGTATTATCGACGATAAGGTTTGGAAATCAAACAGAAAAAGTTTGGTCCATTCTATCAAGTCTCTATTTGGCATTACAAAACTGAACTACTATTTTGATTTTTGGAAAGAGAAGTGACGGTTCAATCATCAATTACCTCAATAATTGTTTTTCAGAGAGAAGTTTCAATTTTACAACTAGATTATTCCCTTTAATAGGAATAGAAAGTAAGCAAATCTTCCCATTATTACACAACGCAACCAGAAGCTATGTGACATTGGAGGTTGAAAAGAGTAGCATCTATTATTGTCTGGATTCATTTGAAATACAGTAATACAACAAAGGTATTATCTCTACTCAATTCTACCCCACCCCAATCAGACATTCACGTCAAAACCTAGAGCCCTCAGCTCAATTCAAATGAAGTTTCCTGCCACTAAGCAGCTAAACAAAGCTAATCCTTGTATGGTGTGCTCTTGCAAGTTTCTTGCAGTTTATAATTTCAATCAGCAGAAATTTAATCTTTTGAAGTTAAACCATAATGTTCTCAGAACAGTACAAGTCTACAATCTTGTGTCCTTATTTAATATCTCTCTTCTACATAGTATTCTGTGAACAAAAAGCAAATGCGCCTTAACATTTTGATGGATCTATTTTTACAGGAGATACACCTTTCAGCAGACGGATCAAGGAAGTGAATCTCAATTTCATCTGAACTAATGAGTAAAATAAAAAAATAAAATAAAAAAAGATTTATGCACTGTTGACAAGCCCATGAGCCTAAAACAATGTAAGTTGATAAAGCAGCACTGTCTATGAGTGCCTCGGATCAGTATTTACAATGTTAGCAACTCTATAATTCCTCCAGCTTCTATTTCTGAATACTCTATTTTGAGTAGACTAAAGCTTTGAAACTGAATTTTCTAGCCGAAAATATATTTTTTAATATGACTCCATCACACTGAAGTGTTTCAGGCCTTCTGGAGCAATTACTGCCAAACATAGTGACACACTGCACTGTAGACAAACAAGCAGTTTATCCCAAAAAACTACGGGGGGTGGGGGGGGCAGTTAATCTGGAACATCAGGAACATTGATTTCTTTTTAAATAGCTTCATGGAATTTTTAACATCCTCCTCAACAGACGGAACTTCAGTTTAATATCTCATCTGAAAGACTACACTTCCAAGTTGACAGCTCTTCTAGTACAAGTCAATCCCATTATAACATATCTGGGTACAGCAGTTGGTTGTGGGCCCCACTCTACCAGAAGTGCAGCGTACCCCCAGGGATACCTGGCTGGTTTCTTGTGAATGCGCTAGAAATGCTCACGAGAATGGCTGTCAGCTTTCTTAATTGGAAACTGGCCCAGTGCCAGAAGCAAAGTCAGATGCATTCTGATGACCTGGAAGCAGGACCAGTAGCCATTCTTATTTTTCATAGAGATTGTAATGTATGAGGTCTAACCTTACAGACTTAGAATGCAGAGCCAGATTGTATCACACTGCAGTGCCAACCTGAAATGTGAGATTACACAAATTTATGTCCCATTGCCAGATGCAAATTAGCCAAGATGACGGTCTGTCAGAAAACTCTTGTTAGCAATCATGAACAGTCATCTTAGAAGTGAGAAAAATCTTAGAATCTTGCAAGGAAATTTGCACTGAAGGAACATGTGGACAAATGCTATGGGTTATGACTGGCTGATGGGCTAACTCCAAAGCAGAACTTGTATCAATTCAACACCGAATCTACATTTTCGCTAGTTTCGTTTCTCAGACTAATGCAACAGACACTATGGAAAACTGCCTTGAAGGATGGTCTCTCACTCCCTATGGTATAACTGCTTGAAGTGAAACTTTCTAAAGTTCATAAAAGTTCACAGTTGCTAAATTCAGTTTAACATAAGAACATAAGAAATGCTAGCCGAAAAAAGTCTAAGGTCCACCTAGTTCGTCTTCCACCTTCCTGGCGGTCGTATGCACATATGTCCCAAACTACCTATGTACTATATCCCATAATGTTATTTTCTAAAAGAAAACTATATCTTATATTTACATTTTATATCTTAATGATTAGTTAAGAGACGAGTGACCAGAATCATTTTATGCAACATCACTGATTTTACAGTTCTAAATGAGAGCAAATACATCCAGGTTCACAAAAATCAGTAAAACATGGCTAAAATGATTTAGGATAAAAGCTGAATTGCTCAATTTCCACCATCATTTTAAATTTCTATCCTCAACAAACAGAACCTCAGTTTAATATCTCATCTGAAAGACTGACATGAACTAGAAAACACCTGCATTTAATATCAGTAGTCACCAGTTGAGATGGTGCAAAGTTTCACCTGCTTACTGCACATAACCACGTTGATGATGCAATCACCACAGTCCAACATGTACATTACAATACACATTATTTGTTAGGAGCTTCCAGAAATAGAAAACAAAATCTTTTCTCAACCAAAAGTATCCTATGAATCTCTGCCTGGTAAAGCTTAAATGCTGGAACTCAGGAAGAAGGCTCTTTCTCCAACTGAAGGTACACGATAAGAAAATATGATCACAACTTAAAAATATGCACCCTATCAAACATATTTAAATTTGAGCTCAAGGTCTAAGGGTAGGTAGCATTGTCTAATCAAATTTTAATGCAAGTGTCTCACCTACAAATTCAACAAGTGAAAAGCCTTATGAAAATGAAATCCGCTTGCCATATGTGAAAAGCATACGACCATTTAAAGGTTACTTAATGCTCTATTTGTATTAACAAACTTTGGGCTCAGCAATTGATATTATACCACTTCTGCAATTTTCACAGATAAATACACAGCATTTCTTTATTTTAGGGAAGAGGGAATTTCCTACACTGTTTCGAATGGCACCATTTCAGAAACTTCAATGTGACCATTTAATGTTAGAATAATCATATGATCCAGGGCATGTGAAACAAGGTCATCTGAGGGACTCCAGGTCAAT